CAAAAGCGATTTAACACCTGAAGAGGTTCCCTCGTTAGTTTACCTGCGATCTGCGTGAAGTGTCTTTTTATTAAAAAATCTGTTTCACTGATACATATCTCAATTTTAGTGTCGAAAATTTATTTTTTCAATAGTGTAATTTTCTTTCGTTGCAGAGAAAAGACAGTTGTACAATCAAAAATCACTTTCTCACCAAAAGCTGGTAAGAAATGGTTTTTTTTTTTTTTGATCTGCCCAGGTTAAAGAGCAGATCAAATTGTCCAGGAAACAAAATCATCAAGATGATATTATTGTACTTAAAAATCATTTTTGAGAAAAAGATAATACACATGCTCAATAATCTGACGAGGAAAGATCTCTCAGATAATTAAAAGCTTTTGAGCCTATATTGTGTCCAGTCGTAGGAAATCGATAGATTAGAATACCCTTCAAAGGATTCGTGCTAACGTTAAAATCTAGCTGAGATATTGACTTTTTAGTAAATTTTCCCTGTACGAATCCAATTTTTCGCTCGAATGAAAATCACAATGAGATTAGCTTATACATAAAATTTTAGAAGTTTTCGATCGAGTATGTGTCTGAGATATGCATAAACTAGTCTCACTGAAACTTTCATTTAAATAAAGTTTTTAGGCCAAAATTCGACAATGGGATTTTACAGAAAAAGTTCAGTAAAAATTCAATGTCTCAACTAAATCTTAACATCAGCATGAACTATTCTAATCTGTAGGTCTCCTACTATGAGACAAAATATGAACTCAAAAGTTTTTAATCATCTTAAAACCTTTCATCGTGAGTAGATTCAAAATAGTTTTGCAAAATTTTTGTTACCTGTTCAGTAAAGAAGAGTGTAACTCGTTCAAAAAATTGATTTCCATCAAGAGATGTTAATGCCAAATAGAGAAAAAGACCATCCAATACTGGCATTGGTATTCCTTTTAATACATGACGCATTAATAATGACATACCAATGAATATATGTGATATTAATGCTGTTAAACGTGTTTCACGTACTTTAACAATACTAAAAATAAAATTTACAAAATGATATAAATTAAAAATTTTTCATATTATGAAAATGAAATTAGTTTTTTTTTTACACTGATTGAATATGACCTTGTTCGACACGTTCTTCTGTATCTGCAAGTACTTTAACATGTAAAGGAGAAAGTGGTAAAGCTCCTTAAATTGAAAAAATTCATAAAATAATCAATTAAAATAAATAAATAAATTATCTAACTAACTAACCATGCATCCATGTTAATCCAAATAATGAAAGTAAACCATTAAGAATTGCTATAACAAATAGATCAACATGAAAAGCTTTACCTTTTTTTAATCTATATAAAAATTTCTCATTAATAATATTCTATTATAAATTTAATTTTTTTTTAAAATTTATACAAACTTATTCGCCGGAGAATTTACAATTGCACCTGCAATATTTTGATCCTAGAATAAAATTCATTTTTAAATATAATCTCATTTAAATAAATATAATACATACAAGAAACATTAATAAAGATAATGAAAATCCTAAAACTCCAGTACCAATTATTTGTTTAATATTAATTGATTTAAATTTAACCATAACAAAAATATGTCCAGAATCCATTGTAAATGATGGAACTAAAATAAAAATTTTTAAAATATTATAAATTAAAAATAAATCTTTCTTTATCTTACGATTTATTTGATTAAAAAGTATACTACCAATCAAAGACATAATTATAACCGATACTGGTAATGCATAATCTGTTAATAATTCACGTTTAGCTGATGTTAAATATGGTGTTTGTTTAAATTTATATAAAAATGTACCAAGCCATACAGTCCCAAGTGCTAATAAAAGATAAAGTAGACTAGAATCTCGTAAACATGGCTCTACATTAAAAAAAAACAAAGACATAGTTCTATGTTTCGAATATAATTATTTTAATTAATTTTACTTTGTAAAAATTCACCGGTTAAATTCATCATTGCACTTTTATTAATTTCATATTTTTCCCAATATTCATCATGTTGTTCACATGCAACAGTTGAATATGTAAGTGAAAAATCTAGAAGAAAAAAAAAAAAACAAATCTAAAAATTAAATTTGATTATATAATAAAATTTACTTTTATAAATATGTCGACTAGCATCAACCAAAAATGCAATAGAAACAAAT